ATGGCTAATATTTTCCTGGAGTTTTTGCTGCACTCTGCACAAACAGGAGTGTTTGTGATTATCACTCTGCCCGACACACGGTCGCAGACAGACACTTGCTGTGAAGCTTTTTGGTGTCGCCTCAAGCAAGGTTAGTGTTCTCTCTCTTCATTCTGTACTGTACTGTACTGTACTTTGTTTCATATTTTTGTGGTTAAAAAAAAAGATACATATGGTTCAGAACGGATTAATCTTATTTACATTGAACCTTATGGGAAAATTTGATTCGGTTGGCGACCAATTCGGTTGGCGACCACATTCGTAGGGGTCAGAACAGATTAACCTTATTTACATTGAACCTTATGGGAAAATTTGATTCGGTTGGCGACCAATTCGGTTGGCGACCACATTCGTAGGGGTCAGAACAGATTAACCTTATTTACATTGAACCTTATGGGAAAATTTGATTCGGTTGGCGACCAATTCGGTTGGCGACCACATTCGTAGGGGTCAGAACAGATTAACCTTATTTACATTGAACCTTATGGGGAAATTTGATTTGGTTTGCAATCAGAATCATGGAACAAATTAAGTTCATGAACTGAGGTACCACTGTATATTGGTGCTGTTATTTAAATTAGCAATACAGTAAACTTTTTACTTAATGTTAACTTTGGACTCATAATTTAAAGATAAATGTATCAATCAACATGAAAAAATAAAAGTTAAAGATTAAAAAAAAAAAACAGAAACTGCCCTACTATAAAACAGATGGAAATTTCAGATACAAAAATCAGATGCCTCTGCAAGGCCTCTTAAAACTGTCTTCATTGGAACTAAAAAGAGTACCAGCGAAGACATCTTGCAAAGAGCTTTCCATACAAGACAGTCACAACAAGGAAGTCTGAACAAGACATTGGCAATCAGGTAGTTTTGGCAGAAGGAGATGGCTCATTAATAACTAGATCCTGTGCCACGATAAAAGGGTAGGACTCAGCACCTTCATCGTGCTTTGGTAGGCAAGGGCTTGAGCAGATAAATCCCACATTCCCAATCCCAATGAATTGTCTAATAAAGCCATTTGGCTTTGTATTAAAGCCACCCTGCATACAATGTATTACACTAGCTAAAAGATTTGCACGTATATTTAGCTTTTTGGCTAACGCCTAGCCCAAACTGCATACAGCTTCATGTCATACAGGCCATGTGACCAGCACATGATAGCGCTGGACTTAAAGGCACCCACGAGCAGCAAATATGATTCTTTACAGATAGTCCTCAGTTAACAACCACTTGTTCAGCCATCCCAGCACCCCCACCGTCACATGATCGCAATCCAGGCACACAGCAACTGGCTTGCACTTACAATGGTTGCAGCATCCCATGGTCACATCATCGTCATTTATGACCTTCTCTGCCAGCTTCCCACAAAGCCACAGGAAAGGTCGCAAGTTGCTCCTACTCCCACCACTTTTTTTTTTTTCCAGAGGAGCCCAGCATAGCACACAACACCACAGAAGCCACTTGTGTGTCCTCCCACCCCCAGCAGCAGCCACCCCTGACCCAGCTGTGCTTGTGCCAGGCTACAGCAGCCACTTGTGCACCCTCCTGACCCTGGCAGCAGCCACCCTGGCCTGGCTGCACTTGCGCCGAACTGCAGCAGCTGCTTGTGCATCCTCTCGCCCTCTGGAACACCCACCCTGTGCCTGGCCACACTCATGCTGCACCACAGCGGCCACTTACCTACCCAGAAGTCAGTTGCAAGCCACCCAGGACTCGCAACTTCCTGCTGGCTTCCCCATTGACTTTGCTTGTTGGAAGCCAGCAGGAAGTTGTGAGGAGGTCCTCACTTAACAACCTGCAATCCTCACTTAATGATGGCAACGGGGACTGCCAAGATTGCTGTTGCTAACTGATGCAGTCACGTGACATCACGCTTTATGACTTCATTCCTTAGTGGTGGAAATTCTGGTCCCAATTACTGTTGTTAACCAAGGACTACCTATATAAAATAAAAATTGTAGTTCAATCCAGAAGCTTGAAATGGCTTTCATAAACTGTACTAAGGTTCCATTAGTGCCTGACTGGGCAGACTTAAGACAGTTTCCACATGAAATTGTTCTTGGGATAAGATGAGGCATAAGTCAGTTCTTTCCTCTACTGCCCTCAGAGCTGTGAAAAGGTGCCATTGTATTGAAGATGTTACCTATAATCAGCCAGACTGAAGCCACTAGGAAAGCATTTCCATTAAAATGCTTTCATTCATTCACATTTTAAAATACAATTCCTTAATTATTAACATTTAAAAACTTCTGAATTGTTACTGGTGAAGGACAAACTGCACATTACAAATAACTGCATATCATAAAGTTAATATTTTTAAAAGTGGCATCCACATTTCAGGTGGAGGAAGGAGAATTTTTTGCTCTTACTTAAATAGCTCCTAGGTTGTTTTTCCTCCCAAACATTTCTAGGCCCATCATACCTACTAGCTTTCTATTATGATCTCTCAGCAATTATAGTAGATTCTTTTCAAAGATCATACACCATGTACTCCTATATATATTTATTCAAGCATAAGTTCCACTATTTACAGTGGGGCTTACTCCTAGATAACTGTGCATTATCTAGTAAGTAAGGTTTATTAAACAAGTAAGCTAGGAGGAAACATTAGCTACAGCGTTCTGATCATGGCTAAAGATTCTATCACTATAGACAAGAATCCTGTTTGCTGAAGTAAACACAGGTATGTGTAAAAACCCTGGACACAGGGGCATATAATGTAGCATCTTGTCTTCTGCTCGGAGAGCTTAAGAGAAGGTGGACTATATATACCATACTAACAGATTCTATATCTCTCTTCCAGCAACTCCTGAGCATCAGGTCCTGGATACTGGACTTTCTAAAGCTAATGCACTGTATACAGTCATCTAAAGTGCAAGGGTCCATGAGTTCAATTCCCAGTAGAGGGTTTGAACCACACAGAATAATATGTAGTTACCTCTGTCTGACAATGTCCAATAATGGTGAAATAAGTCACACAGGGCTTGCCTCCTGGTGGTCTATGTAACAGGTATGTAACCGGTTTTCCAAACTGGTAGTCTTTGGACTGGACATGCTAGGTGATGGGAGTAGTCCAAACATTTTATTTGATTTCTCTCCTTGTACAGGTGGTCAAGATGGTGTACATGGTGCTCCTTCCTATTTTCTCAACATAACAATTCCCTGAGGTGGGTTGGCTTGAGTGAGAATGATTGGCCCAAAGTCACCCACATGCAGAACACCAAGTTGGTGGATACCAGATTATATAGGATTTGTTTCCCCCAAAAATCCATTAATACCACATGGGAGGTGTACTGTTGAAATGTATTCTAAAATGCAGAAGGTTTTCTTCAGCTGCTAGGTACTGTAGCCAAATCATTTACATTTTCACATATTGTCTTCTACTATTACTACCAAAGCGGCAGTTAACTGAAACAAACTCATCAGCCTAAAAATGGGTTGGACTATGAGCTCTAGCAACAAAGAAAAATGGACCCCACAACAACTTTGAAATCGTTTGAGAAGACACACACAATTATCTCTTATCAAAAACCAGAATAGGAAGGAATATTGACTATTTTCTTCCCTTTTGTTCATTTGAATCAGCAGGCAGGAATGAATGCACATGTTAGCAGAACACAAGGTAAACTTCATGGTTTAACGCTGTTCTCTCTCTCTCACATACCTATTTTATTATAAATATGAATGGATGAACTATTTCAGTACAATACCTTGTAAGTGTCCACATAACGATCTTCCTTTTCTTTAGATTGTACAGCTATCGGTTTGATCAAATTTCTGAAATTACACAAATATTGCAACTTGTCAATTCCAGAACTTAAGGAACACAACAAATGCAATCAAATGGATTGTTTTTTTTAGCATAGGTGAGTTTGACAGCAAGCTGTATAACTAGTAAATCATTTTCAAAGGCAAGTCATTATATTTATTACCTATAAACAGATGGATCATTTAAGTCCAATGTTTCACTTGTATAGTCGGAAAGTATAAAGGGAAATACTGGATACTGCATGAGATCATTGAAGGAACGACCAGCATGTTTGTTTAAATGAGTGAGGTATTCAAAATTAGTGATCTGTCCTGTATACCACAGGTGGGTTAATGCGGTAATGTTGCCATACTCCAAGAGATTAGGAAGATTGTTTGTTAGGATATTGTGGTACACATCATCCCGCACCTAAAAAGAATCAAATAAAGCTTTTACCAAGCTGCAAATCATGAGTCATCTGAAATACACATTTTCAACATCCTTCAATAGCCATTTATTTATGTTAGAATTGTAGCCAGATTAACACATATATATCTTCATGCCTCATTCACCTCTTGATATGTAGTCTCATTAATAGATGCTTGTTCTCCATTTCCAAAATAAGTTGCATACAGGTAGTCCTCAACTTATGACGGCAATTAGGACCAGAATTTCTGTGGCTAAGGGATGTGCTGTCCCAGTTGCCATTGTTAAAAGAACCCCATGGTCAGTAGGCGAGGCAATTTCCTGCCAGCTTCCCACAACCAAATCAGGTGGGGAAGCCAGGAGGAAGTTGAGAATCCCAAGTGGCTTGTAAGCAAGCCGGTAGGCAGGTAAATGGCTGCTGCTGGGTGTGGGAGGGCATGAGGGGGTGCGCAGGGGAGGTGTGGCAAGGCTCAGGGAGGGTGCACAGGGGTGTGGAAGAGGCGTGGTGAACCTTGGGAAAGATGTGCAAGCATGCAAGGGAGGTGTGGCAAGGGTCAGGGAGGGTGCAGGGATGTAGTGAGGGTGCAAAGGGGTGCGCAAGGGTGCAAGGGGGTGCACAAGGGTGTGAGGGAGGCACGGCGAGGTCAGGGAGGTTGCAAGGAGGTGCAGTGAGGGTTGGGGAGGGGGTGCATGGGAGGCACAGCGAGGGTCAGGGAGGGCACGCAAGGGTACAAGGGGGTGCACACGGGTGCAAGGGAAACATGGCAAGGGTAGAGGAGGGTGCAAGAGGGTGCACAAGGGTGTGAGGGAGGCATGGCGAGGGCCAGGGAGGATGCGCGAGGGGGTGCAATGAGGGTCAGGGAGGGTGCACAAGAGTGCAAGGGGGTATGTATCCATTTTATATACAGAAGCAGTAAAATTAATTTGTTTTGTATCATTATATAATGGAGTTCTGTAATGGGGTAGGGGGTAGGGGTTAGCTTTCCAAATTTTTGGAACTGCATTTAACAAATGAAAACTAATTTAAATGAAACAGAATGCTCTATTTGTCAAATTCCTTTTGTCTCCTCATTAAACCTCTTAAAAATTTACCTACCAAGCTTGATAAATTTACCAATTGACTACAATACAATGACAAAGGTACCAGTGTGACTCTTCATCCCAGATGAAAATTGAATAAAAGATCTCAATCACAGATGTCAGCACTGTTAAAATACTGGTGCCCATCAACTGGCCTTTGCCATACCCTGCAGAAAAGTATGAGCGGGAAAATGTAGACGTTCCATCTACTGGATTCCAAACCCTTCCAGGACACCTGGGAGTTAGCAAACAATTGTTCCTTTTCCAGACGTACAGATAAGCAGCAAGGCTTGGAATGCTGAGATGGATTTGCTGCTCAGTTCTCCTCTGCCTGGACTCACTATGATTTCTTTTGTAAATTTTGCTACATATGAAACAAAGTTACACAAAGCTCCATTCAATATTGCTGGATAGTCATCCAACATATTTACCTTTGTGTTATCAAAAGCTAATAGTAACGTTCTGCCATTCGTTAAAAATATTTCTACAGCATTATCTCTTAATTGCCACCAACGCTTGTGCACTTCTTTGATTTCTTCAAATGTCCAAGAAAATGATGCTGGCTCAGTTTCTCCATGAAAACTCTAAAGAAAATGCAGTATGTTAAAGCAATCACCCTTTTCAAAATAATGTTCTTTGACATGGCAATATTTTAATGCTTTTGAAATTTTTGCTGTGGGATACATACATTATTACTGTTATTATTTTATTTTGAGCTTTCATGCCAAATGTCAGTATTAAAATGCAATAAATAGAAAGAATTAGTGCATTTATTAAGTAAGTAACAAACATTTCTAACCAACCTAAATATTTTCAGATGCCAGAGAAAGGCTACTTATGAAATTTTTACAAATAGTGTTTTAAATTTTCTTTCAGCAAACCACATCAAAATTGATGTCTGAATTCCTAGGATTCTTAAATAATATTACAGATTATTGCTCAGATTATACTCACTAAATGTACATAAACATATTTAAAAGTATGATTTAAAAACAATTCAAAACTTTTACTTACTGAATTTTCAATAATTTCAGAAGCATTGTCTTCCACAAAATACATTCCACATTTGCCTGCAAAGTGAAAATATTTAAGAGATATTCTTAATTTATACATTAAAAAGTTATAATGGTCTATATTTAATCTGTATACCACTGACCTCAAAAGACTGACATGGAAATAAGTTTAATTTAATTTAAACTGACTCTGGGCAGTGTACAATAAAACCAAACAAACAAAATAGAAAACACAATATAATAAATCATAAAAGAGAACAAGAACCAGTGGTGAGTCCAGCTAACAACCCCCAGCCCCCCAACAAATCCAACAGGGCCCCATCAACTTTAACCCAAGGCCTGGGAGGACACTCAGGTCTTTAAGATTTTCTGGAATGCCAGCAGGGTAGGATCCACACAGATATCAGGGGGAACCTCATTCCAGAGGGCAGGCCACATGACAAAGAAGGCACTCGTCCTGGGTCCTGACAGATGTCACTATTTAATTGAAGGGACCTAGAGCAAACCTGTTAGCTCATACTGGCCGGGAGATAGGCAGTCCCTCAGATAACCAGGTTGCATGCCATGAAAGGCTTTATAGATCATAACCAGCACCTTGAATCGCACCCAAAAGGATATTGGTAACCAGTGCAGCTCACAAAGCAGGGCATACTAAGGCATGCCCATCACTGCCCACACCACTGCATTTTGGACCAATGAAAGCTTTCAAGTGGTTTTCAAGGGCAACTCCACATCAAGCACATTGCAATAGTTAAGCCATGAGGTGACCAGGGCATGAGTGACCGAAGGGCCTCCCAACTCAGGAAATGATGCAATTGGTGCACCAGAGAGAGTTGCACAAAGACCTTCTTGGCCCCAGCTCCCACCTGCTTATTAAGCCAGATATAATTGGGTATCAATTATAAATTGATGTAGTTGTTGAGCAAAACCATATCCCAAAGAAACTTCAATACTCTTATGACAGTATTTCCACATAGCCAGTCTGAGCATGTTGGTCACTTGTGTTCTTTTTTATACATATTGTCTTTTCACCTGTAAGCTGCCCAGAGTTGCTAAGAAGTCAGACAGCCTTGAAATGTGGTAAATAAAAATAAAGTATACTGATTACAAGTTTCAAACTGATATTTATACTGTGCTGTAGCAAAATTCATAAATTTTAAGGTTAACCTGAAAATGTGGTTGAAGCCATGAACAAATACTCTACATAAGAGAAAACCTCTCAACATCTTTAACAATACTCCAATGTCCACTATATTGGATCTATTAGATGTTTTGCACTTCAGTTTTTGAATGGAGAATCTGGTTCGGTTACTGTTGCCCATAAGTAAAGAACCAGGCATCAAACAAAGAAGAGAGAATGGCTTGGGTAGTATGAAAGAGTGGAAAATAGAAAGAAAAAGTTCACACAAATACCTAATCTACAAAACAAGTCACACTTAAGCAGTTTGTATTTATTCCTTTGTTTGCCAACTATTCTTAGCCTCACTGAGAAATTTGAAGCTTCAAATTTGCACATCTATAAAAAAGTATTGGTTAGCACGTAGAAATAAAGTTTTTCACTAAGTGCCAAATGAGACACAACATTAAAAGCGTGCTTAGTTTTCCCTTCTGAACAACAACAACACTTTCCAATCAGGAGTGAGACTACAGCACACCTCAAAAAGTTCATCATCATCCCACTTTGGTCCTATTAAAAATTCCTCTCTTCTGAAGCTGCTATTAAGACTGAGATGAAGGTGATTTTTGAAGGTAATGGAAAAATTCCTTTAGGCCAAATTGTATCTTTGGATTAAATCACCTTTATCACGCACTGCAGAATGTATCCCCTGGCTCCCTGGCTGTTATTCAGAAGAAAACAGCTAGACTCACTATCTTCCCAGGTATCAAAAATACTTATCTCAAAATTGCTACCTTTATATAAGAGTCAGATTGCTTGATCAAGTGCACAGTTAAGGGAAAAAAGATTTACCTAGTAGCAGTTCACCTGGAGTCTCTCTAGATGGGGCCACATTTATACATCTTCGATTAACTCTGCAAAGACATACAGTAAATATGACAGATTCGTTTTATGGATATCTGAACCATTATATTCTCAAAAAAATATAATGGTTTAATAACACTCATTATGTTCCATGGCTTTGATGCAACCCAAATATGTCTTCCTTTAAAGTGAAATTAAACATTAATTTTCCCTCTTTACTCCAATTCTGCTCCAGAGATTTCTAGAATCCTCTAAAACAGATCAAGAAGTCACGCCAGGAAAGAGAGTGAAGGTACAACCTGCTCCGTAAATTAATTCTTGCTCATTTAATCTTGGTTTCCACCCATAATATATAAATTGCCTAAACTTTTTAGCTTTAATCAATCTTAGTTTTGTTTTATTTACAGACATTAGATAATATTAGCTCAGGGAACAGAGAACTAAAGCAAACATTACATATATGTTTAATCATTATTATAATGCCAGATTTACAATAATTTAATAATTAACTACTTACATCAGAATTTAAGGACATATTCTTTCTGACATTTTATTTTTATAAAAATGTGTTGATGTGTGTATATACAAACAAACTCATGCATACACATGCATACATACAATAAGTTGGAAATGTACTGGTTAAAAGTTTTAAGTACAGAATAATACAATCTTTGCTAAATATATTACCCACTAAAACCTTTCAAATTCTATTATTGTATTTAACATATTTAGCAGATATTTTGCTATCTTAATATTCAAGGCTGTAATTTTTTTTTTTTTTTACTTTGTCACAGAATACCCCTATATTAGTCTGCTGTAGACATTATAAAGACCACTATGGCAATATAAAATCAAGGGTGGTAGATCCTAGCTATCATGTGTGAAATTTTATATGTAGAATATTTCTTCTTTCCCCTCCTCTTTCTTCTCTCTGCAGCCTCCCTACTTCTGAGGTATAGAGACTGGCTGATAGGAGTAACGCATCCCGCAGTTTGGGCTCAAACCTAATAGATTTATTACGGTAAATGGTCTTATGGACTATAATCTATTTCACTAGATATTAGCAGGTTTTTTAATATATGTATATGTATGTGTGTGTGTCTTTGTGTATATGTATATATGTATACATACACACACACACACACACACACACAGGCGGAGAGGAGGAAATGTAAACAGTTAAGGCCAGTGAGGGGTATTACTAGAAACAGCTTAAATGCATAAAAATGTACGCAGTGACGATATGTAATTGGTAATAACTGAGCCCTCCTCTTGTCAATTAAGTTAGCCTGCCCACCCCTCCCCACCTGCTCCTCCATGTATTCAACCATGCACTCATATTTCTATAAATCAATTCTGGCCTCATTTATGAGAAACTTTCTGGTTACATACAGATGATCCTTAAGCATTACAGGCATAAGTACTGACGACCCTATATTATGTTTTTCCCCCCCACAACCCCCCCCCTTTTAAAACATTCATTAGAACTCACCTGATATGCTCACTGGCAGCTTTATCTTTCACTGTAGAAGAGTGAGATGAATGTGTTTTGTCTTCAAACAGATAGGCCAGGGGGGGCTTAAGAACCTCTATTAAGAAGCAAAACAAAGCTTTATGTTTTAAAATATTTTAGGGAAAGTAACTGGACTCGTAAAGAATAGTGTAAGTTACCTTCCAATTTTTGTCTGTCTCTGAGGAGGTATTTATTTGGAATAGTTAAGTAGCACCTCTGCAAACGGCGCCTCTCTCTGTTAGGTCCTTCAGTTGGGTCTAACTGCCACGACGTTGGGTAGGAGGCAGGGTCATACCAAAGAGCCCTGCAAGTAGAAGCACTGGAGTAAGGACTACACACTTTCTCATAGCAGGTTTAAAATGGAGGTCCAGTACGCAAAAAGTCTGTACCTTCCTTAATTGTACTTTATGCATGAACGATTCAATTCTGATGACCTTCAAAATACTATGTGTACAATATACAGTTATACTAAGCAGGGATAAGAAACAGTCAGTCCCTCAGGTAAAGCCAGAGACGATAATAATTTTGAAGCCTAAATAAATCAGCTTGATCTGATTTCAGTGGTATATTAGTTTGGAATGAGATACATAAGCTTTTTTATTCCACATTTTACATTACTATAACTTGCCCTGATTTTTAAGCTGTAGCAGAGAAAAAGCCATTTGGTTCATAGCATTCTCATCCTATACTGATTTCCTAGAATTGCAGACTTTGCTTCTTTTAAGGGAAATAAAGGCAGAATTTCAAGTGAACGTTTGCAACTATCCTTCTACAATGCAAATCTTAATATGAATGCAAATTCTGTTTCACAAATGGGAACAGCTATCTCAGATTTTTTTCTCATTAAGCAATAACAGCAGCCACTAATTTTTTCAAAGGGAGATAGGTAGTTGCTTACCTATCATGTGTAAACTGCTGAATGAGTTCCTGCCAGTGTCTGCTGGCACTTAAGTCTGTTTTATACATCCCCCTGATGTGCTGAATCACCTTCTTTCTTTCCATTCCCTGGGACAGAGAGGCAGCCTGGGTGATGTCCCCTGCAATTTTAGAAATCTCCTTTGACTTTGCATCCAAGCGCTGAAACAGACTAAATGGAGACACCAATTTAAAAGGATAGCACCATCTACATTAAGGAACAAATATGTAAAGCAAGCAATATCCCAATTTATAACTGGGATTTTCCATTTATATGGAAGCTGAGTTTTTTGCATTCAGTTTAGTATTTAGTATTTCAGTTTAGCCACACACGCACACATACCCAAATATCTCCTCTAAAGTTAAAGGTTTTTTCAGGTTAGGATTCAATACGGCTTGTAGGATTCAGAAGAAACTTCCCAAATCACCAACTTCTGAGATAATGGTGGATATAACCATGATTTACTTCTACAGCATGTCACATTAAAACTATCCTACTGTGGAAAAATTGGATAAAAACAGAAGACTTTTGATGCTAGAAAGAGCAGCCTTACGCTGTTTGACCCTCTCGTCCTGCAATGTATAACAATGAAGCACATGGCATTTTGTATGTTTTCCTTTCCATTCCATTCTGTTGCCAAGATGCACAGAGGTGAAGAAAAGCACAATGTAACAATATCACCTATTTTATGCTCTGTGTAATAGGAGAGGGAAGGAAACTAGACTGGTGCCTGTCTTAATGAAGGCTCCATAGTTGGAGCAACATCTGTTTTTATTCTTAGTAAAAGTAGTAGCAACTTACGTTTGCCGGTTGTTGGCCATTATCTTTTCCCAAGCAGCTTTATTCACATCTTCTTCAACCACATATTTCTTATGGTCCTGATAATCAGTTTAAAAAAAGTGATTCTCTTTTTCAGCTATTTTCCTAATATTGCTGCAATATCAAGTACAGTATTTCCAATACTTTAATATTACTTACCTCTTGCAGTCAAAGTTTTATTTAAAGAAACATGTTTTTCTATTTTTGTTTAGTGTATTATAATTATTTTAAGAAATACATTCATTGTGACAGGGAAGCTACAATTTACAGTGAAGGCATTAATCATATGCACATTTATCATTAATTTTGGGACTTCTGCATGTAATTTTCCTACTATATGTACTTTTTGCAAATAATTTTCTTCAATTCATTTTCCTTATTTTTCCAAAAACATGTATTTTTGTGCAAATGCTCTCTTGGTATGTTCGTTTTTACACAAATTTCTTCTTGAGACAACTGTACTACATAATTTGGAAAAATGTGTATTTTGATAGATAACTAAATTTCAGTTTGCATATTGATTTGAAAATGCAAAGTTGCATTAACTTTTTATTGAAATTGGAATAGGCTGATGCCCCACCTCTAGTTTTGCAAATATGTTAATGATGCAAATGTAAGCAAGTGAGATCAGTAAGGAAAGTGATTATATAGATTTACATACCTCTTTCATTGCTTTTATGAGGTCAGGCTTGGGTGGTGCATTGAGAGGAATGTATTTGTAACCACAAAGTTTTAATGTGTTCATGAATGCTCCAACCGATACCTGTTCTTCTTTGGTTAATTCATCTTTGTGATCATGCATTAATTCAAATAAGTAAAGTGATAACTTAGGCCCATGCTGCAACAACAACAACATATAATAATAGAACAGTTACAAATTAAGGACTATAGAAAACTTTCATGTAAAAATACTTACTTACGTATTTTATAATATACCAGCTTATTCAACAAGTTTATGCACTCAAGCAGATTTTGAAGTTTGTGCTGTCTGAACAACAGTTTCTCATGTACCTTGGTAAATGCCTTTTAAAGTTGAAGGGACATGGATGGCCAATTTATTATATAGCTTGGTAATCTGGCATTCATAAAACTAGTGTCAAAAATCCCACTGAGAAGGCATCAGCTCTTTGGGATGCCTAAATGTCTTTACAAGCTATACCACCAGTGGTGCAACTCAAGACAACTAAACATGGGCCTGGGCCTTTTCTTAACATGAGTTGGTTCTTTTACCAGATGTAACTACTAAAATGCTTACTAAACAAAAGGCCTCAATGGCACAGCACTGATTTACTGCTAAAAAAAACTTCAGGCAGAGAAGAAGAGCTTCCACTGCCATTCAGGGCCAACAAAATGAGCTAAATGGGCCTGTGGTCTGAGAAACTCTCCCTACCACTGAGCTGAAGTGCTCTCAGCCCATCCTTGATCTGCCATGTCTTATCCCCACTGACCACCCTGATTCTGCCTCTATTATCTCCATCCCTAATCATTGCCTTCACCTGACCTCCCTCCAGATAAACAGGTGGCCAAGCCTAACAGAACGTTTACACCTTGAGGCTGCCTTTGGATAGTGTCGGAATAAGGGGGAAAACACAACTAACACCAGTAGAGCTAAGAATGTCTTTCGCCTATCTATCTCATGGGCATAAGACAAAGACATGTCATGGAGACTTGGCAGCAAAAAACAACAACAAACAAAAGCATTGCTATAATTAGTTATAAGTGGGAAAAGGCCCTCATATGTGCCTCCACTACATCACATTGGGGTCTGGAAAATAAGCAGCTGATACAAAACAGTGTTATTTATTGACTGACATACAGTATATAGATCAAAAGGAATACTCTATTTGTTATGAAATACCTGCATTACTTATTTGTTTGCTTCCAGGTCCAATCCAAGGCACTAATTTCAACTACAAAAGAATTTCATATTTTAAGCCCAATTACTGCAGGGAATAATTTCTCCCATATGATTTCCTACTTCTTCCAAATTTTGACAATGTGACTTTGGTTCAAAGTGCTGTCAGCTTAGAGGGTAAAGTTATCATCTATTAAGACCACATTTTTTCCCTTATAAATTCCTCTTATCAAGGTTTTGTTGAATAAATAAAAAACTAAAGAAAAGCAACTGGTAGGACTAGAAAACTAAAGTGTCATTTCCCATACACACAACAGGCTATTAAGGAATGGCACCTCTTCCATGGAGTTTTGACATTTTAACCATAATAAAACTTAAATAAGCTATCTAAATTCTTCAAAAAGCATTACAGCAATCTCCCTTTCAGCATTTCAAAAGTGCCAGAATTCTTACTTGCAAAGTTGTACTTAAACAGTCTCGCAAAATCTCCTGGTGGTTAATTTCATGTAAGAATTCCAAAGTATGCTTTCTTTCTTGCAAAGAGCGTGCTGGAGACAAAGCATGTACAAGCAGTCGCCCAAGCTGCACTCGAAAAGTATCCTTGCAAGACAAGAGAATTTTCTTCCACTGTTGTTTGGGGGTGCTTAACCTGGTAGCGCCCTAGGCATGAGAAAAGCTAAGTTATCTCCCAAGATTCTTTTTTCTCATCTAAGAACAAAACACATGACTAATACGATACAAACACTTAACTAAAATGAAGTATTCTTAAAGGGTTTTTTAAAAATAACATTTAAGATGTGCATCACACCATTGTTGGTGGACACAAACCATAAACTTTACTAAAATATCTGGAAGGACTCCAACCAACAAAACATTTATTCTAATTAGACTGAAAAGTTAGAAAGTTGTAATTCTGTACAATCCGTATAAAATAATGTCCAACATGTAGGTTGTTATTTACATTCTTATTCCCATTCAGAGCATACTGCACCTCAGGCAAATATACTGATGCATTCTAACAGATATTCTATAGGTTAAAAGTGGTGTGGGAAGACCAAGACGGAAGAACTATCTGTCTACAATAAGTAATAAGACTGGATCAGGGGAACTGATGAACTTTAGGAGGTAACACAAAGCACTTACAACAGATAATCCAATTCCTTCAATCATTATTTTAAACATTTCTCTTAAGAAAGTGTTTCTTGGAGTAAGCTGCTTCTGTTCATCCTCCTTTTCAACCTTGTCCATTTGGGAAACTGAAGATCTATTCTGGAATGGGGCCTCAGTCATTTCAAGGCAATTTTCAGAATGGTCTGCAAATTTTAAAAAGGGTTATACAGTCAATTTTAAGCCAGACTGTCCTGATCCAAGGCCATAGTCATCCTACTGTGGCACAACTCACAGGACCATTACATTACAGCAAACTGAACTGAATGTAATTGAGTTGAATGTTATTCAATTCTTTATTTTGCATTAAAAGCACTTTAGGCTATTATTTTCATTGCCTTAAAAAAACCCAAAATAGGCTAAGAAGAATTTGTGGTAATTAAAAGACATATAAAAAACATTGCTAAAATAGTGCCAGCTGGCAAGGCAGACAACATGTTATTTTTTTAATATCAAATTTTAAACTGTACCAACATATGCATTTAAATGCACAAATAATTCTAAATAAAGAATTTGGAATATTTTAAAAATATAGCGAGAAGAAAAATAAAGTGAAAATAAATGATAATAAAAAAGGTGCTGCTGGGAGGAGCAATAGCAAGTGCAGCAAGAGGCTCAATTGCCTGAAAGCAATTCCTGGCCTTTATGTGTTCCTAACACACATCAGTGTTTGCCTCCAAGGACAGGGTGGGGACAAAGCCTGAAATGAAGAGTCCTGATACCAGGATGTGAGCTCAGGATCACTGATGAAATAACTTGGCCTGCTTTGCTTAGCTCTCAAGGGGGACACACATGTAATAAATGTTAATGATGTCAAGAAATCAAAGCCATTATGACGTGTACGTGTACGTGTATCCTGGCCACAAATATTAAGAAAAAAAGGAAGAACAAAGCAATGGCCTGCTTTTAAATGAGGAACAATATTTGCTTCCAAAGTTCTTTATATGGAATGAAACTTGGAATGGTAGACTTGGGCTTGAGCAACAGTCTATTTGTGCAGCACCACTTCCCTGTCCTACTGTAACCTTTATTACTACTAAAAATTCTCCCTTTCCCCAAGGATGGTGGGTGGTAGAGAACTGAATGGAAATTAAGCAGTATTTTGTGCAAACAACAAATGATGACCTACAATATGATAGCTAAAGCTTTATATAACATCCAGAGATCATAACCTGGATTAGAAATGCCAAACTGTACAAATCTGGAATTTTAGAAAGTAGTATCCTAAACTGGCTACCATAAGGGGGGACTTGCCATTCACGCAATGCATGTCATGGATAGTCATTGCATTCAGTCATATAAAGACAAATCTGATGAGGGTTAAAGGCAAGTAATTCATCCAAGAGCCAAAATACAAGACCAAGGTGTAATCAGAACCTCCAAAATCACGTGTAATGTTTATATCCTTTCTTTCTAGATCTTCCCCAAACCAATATAAATAAATGTACATTCGCCTTCCTCCCTCAAGCAGGACACAGCATAGTCTACTACATTCTGCTATTGACCTCTTCACTTCAGCCTCAGTCTTACTTGCCTTCTGTTTCTAGTCACCTCCTACCCTCAGACTTGTCCTCCTCCCCACTGTCCAAGTTTGTCTATCTCCTTCATCCAACCTCAGCTTTCCCTTAGTTGCTCCAAGCCTTCTGGTTTACTAGGTAACAGAAATGGAATCTGATCTGTCTTTCATTTCTTAAGAATGGATCCATGTGGACATGCTAAAGAATTGGATGACGGGCAATTCAAAGCCATCACGTTAAACCACTCTTGCCCACATTATTGTTTTTTTTTTAATTAAAAACAATAGCCAGGACACACAAAATATCCTGTTACTCAACTTTCCAACATTACAATGGATAATCTGCATAATCTGCACAATTCTTCTTTAGGGCAACTTTTAATATATTGTTTAGTAAATAATTACAATATATGATTCTTTCTGCTATAGCCTGATATATTGCTCAAGTGATGTGTCTTAATGGATTCCAAAGATTCATTAAGAAAGCTGATATTAGCACACTGGATTGACTTTAATAAAAATGTTGAAAGAACATTATTACCTTGATACATGAATCTATTGGTTGTTAGTACAGTAATCCTCTGTAACCTCTGTATAAGCTCTGCTTCAGTGGCACAAAGAGAGCTGTCTTGACTCATTCTACGCTGCATCATAAAATTCAGTTCCTCATTTGCAATTGTACACATTCTCATTAGCAATGTCTCAGACTCAGCAATAGAAAATGTTCTAGATGCTTCAAGAATGAAAAACAAATACCAATAAAATTCCACTGATAAACTTGATGAAGTTTTAAATTTCAAAGATCAATGTCCACAGTATCAGTGGTGACAGCAGGAGAAAAACTTGTTAATTTATTTTCTTTTGACAAGGACCTTTACGTAAGGCAGAATTATTTAACAAAATGAATTAAAGGATAAAAACAGGTCAAGAGATTCTGCTCATATACTTAACTGACATACTATGAAAGAAACATTTTGATCATACTTTGTTCTAAAGATATATTGTGGGGGAGTTGGGCGGTGATATAAATTTGATTTATAAATAAATAAATAAATAAAATATTGTTTATTAATGTTCAGTAATTAAAACTTTAAAAAACTCTGCACACTTCACTCTAGAATGAGTAAACAAATGATAGTCAAAGGCTGCCCAGTTCAAAAAACTGTGGTTTTTCATTACTCACCAATGCTTTTACGTTTTTGAAATATAGCCTGATGATCTGCAACTGATAAATGGAATGAATTGCTTAAATGTTCTGAATCTTGATTTCCTATAGTTTTTATATATTTTACAGCTGATTGCAGGACTGTGAATTGCAAATTAACTGCCATTTCTGAAAGCAACAGAGATGAAATGAACAAGCAGTCACTTCTTCAGATTATTCCAAAGATTAAATAATTCAAACAAGTCATTCACAAAGGAATTTGGGGCTTACTCTGTGTTCTTTCATTCTTGCTCATCTGCAGGTGTCCAAGCAACACCATGAGATCTTCAATAATCCGAAAATATTGTGTTCCTGAACAACTGCAGGCATGGATTGTCACTGCTGCAAGTAACTGCTGTATATCACACACAAGTAGCCTGGAGTCATTTGAGAGAATGCTGTGGAAAAGGTGAAAACAATTAATTAAATCCCTTATTTTAGTTATATATCCATGGTCAACTGATCTAGCTCTTCTTTATTCCAATGACTTACTGGACAATTCCTTTATTCCAATGTTTAAAATTACATATCTCTTACAAGCTGTAAACTTTTTGAAAAGGATTCATGAACTATATGCACCTGCCTAGCTCTGAGCTATTTTTAGTGACAGTATTCAAAGTTATGTAATATGTAACATGGTAATTAAGCAATGCCACCATGTTCAAAGGATCTGTCCAATCCAATGTAGCTCACGCCCTTTGGAAAATGGGGGTTTACTAGGCCCATATTTTAGGAATGGAAATATTTTATTTTATATGAAATGTGCCTTCAGTAATCAAAACCAGCTGCATGTAATTATGATTACAAACATGCTGGAATTTAAAAACAGAGTTATTCTACTCTGAATTAATCAGTATAAAGATTCTTCAAATGATGTGCAATATGCTCTCAATAAGATTGTTCCATCTAAGATTTCACAAATAGGGAAGTTGCTTGAGAAGGCCTTTGCATTATTTTTTTAACATAAAAACTCAGGCCACACTTAGCCTATGAATTCAGAGAATTTTTTTTATTATTATTATTTTATAATCTACTGGATTTGTTAAGGCCGCCCAACTCCAAGAAGATTCTGGGCAGTGGTATAATAAGTCCAATACATATATTAAAAACATATTAAAAATTGTATGATTGCCCAGACCAAAAACTGAACTGGGGGTCCACAGCCACCCTAACTCCAGGCCTGAGAACAGAGCCAGGTCTTAAGAGACTTCTGGAAACCAAGGAGAGTGGGACCAATACATATCTCTGGGAGGATGCTGTTCCAGAGGGCAGGAGCTACAACAGAAAAGGCTTCCTCGGTCTCACAAGATGACAACATTTAATTGATGGGGAGACTTCCAGGGAAGAAATGGCAGACTGAAGATGGCTCCACAAAATGCGTGGAGTGCAGCAGAATGAAGAGCCGGAGAGTAGACCGGCTGTTTGATAATTCCTCTCCAGACAAGGAGAGGACTTGAGATCACCCACAAGTGCTCCAGACAGCTGCTCCTCACGAGGAGACCACAAGACAGTGGTCTCCAGTGAGTTTAGAGCTCTGGGAGATGAGGGAACAACATATTACCCCAAACCACAGTTCAGTGCCTTTCCAAAGGACACTGCATTTGCACACTTCCTTTTCTAATCACTTTCAGAAATTGCTTGTTAACTGCTTTTCAGCTATTAGGAACCTTTGGACAGACAGGTTTTACAGCACCGGGTGACTTTCCTTCAATCCTTAGCAAAAGAAGTTTTAACTACAAGTTTAAGAACTTAAAAAAATTTTTTTGGAAAAAATAGCAAAAGGGCGATTAAAGCTTTGATTTTAGAAAGTTACAAATGA